ATGGCGTTTTCCCCCCGGGCTGAGCGAGGGGAATTTCCAGCTGGCTCTGAGAGCTTTGGGTGGAAGGGCTGCTGGCTTTGGAAGCCTGGAGTTGGTGGTAACCCCAGCAGAAATAGCAAAAGTGGGCCCGAAAGTGCCTGGCAGGCGAGGCCAGCCACGCTGCGGGTGCCGGCGCTGGCCAGGCAGCCGTTATCTGCGGCTTGCAGCAGGAAGGAGTCGGGGCCACCGCCCCAGCATTGCCCCATTTCCAGGCAGGGAGCGCGGGCCATGGCCCATGTCAGCGGCCCGAGCCCGTTTCCCCAGCAGCTGCCAGCGGGCAGATTAATGGCTCGCAGGGAGACGTCTGCCAGTGCTGCAAGCCGCGTGTCCGTGTCCCTGCCACGAGCTCCCCGGCAGCGAGCCGGGCTGCAGCGCCATGCAAAGCACTTCCTCTGGCGTGTCCTTTTTTACTAGCAGAAAGTAATTTTTGCTTCCTTAAGAAAATAGATGTGCAAAGCCCAGCCCGTGGCCGCGGTTAGCGCTGCACGAAGGGCTCGCTTCGCTGCCTCGGCCCCATAGGTTCGGTAAGTGTCACTCTCTGGGCTGTCCCCGCTTCCCCCGGCCGGGCCGGCGTGCTGCGGTCGCAGAGAGCAGCAGGCTGTCATTGGCCCCGCGGCACCGGGGCGGCGGCTGTGCCAGCAGCGCTGCCGGCGCCCCGTGCACCGCGCAGGAGCCCCGGGTGGGACGGAGGCACTGGCCCCAGCGCGGGGCCCGCCGAGCGCAGCAGGAGAGCGCGGCTGTCGTGATGGACGGTGAGTCGTTCACAAAGCTGGACGGTTTCATTGCCGTCTTTCATTGCGCTTTCGCGTACGTGCCTCGCTATCTTGAGTTAGTGAAGACTTCAATAATTTAGTAGAGAAATTAACACTAAATGCAAGATGGTTTTATGCAGGGCATGAGTAACAAAACTTTGTGGTTCTGAAGAGCATTAAAAGTTGCAGTCAGGCCCATCATAGACCCGCTGTGCTGCGTGCTGGGGGTCCACTGGGACCCCTGTGGTGTGGAGCTGCACCCTGAGTGGCAGCAGCCTGCTCCCAGGGACACGTGGAACAAACACGGCGCGGGAGCCACTGCCATGGCGCCGGTGTGTGCAACTTCTCTTTCTTCTGCTTTTACCACCGTTTTATCCGTTCATCACCTGTGGTGCTTACTGCGCTGGAAAAGCTAGAGAGGTTTTTGCATGCTTACAAGAGCCCTGTGAGCTGGTTTAACATCTGCTGTGTTCTGGCAGTAGAGCGGACACAGGGCTGGTGAGGCACCCCCGCCATGCTGTGCACCACTTTGGGTGCACTTCCC